CAACTGCGTTTTCTTCTCCCAGTTCGAGGCGGGAGGAGCAGCTCCCACTAGCAGGTCCAATTTAGGCTTGTTCTGTGCTGGGAGAGCTCCAGGACCCGGGGTTCCAGGACGTCCCCACAAGCTGCCCCACAGCCACCTGCCAGCCCTGCCCAGGACACGCGTGTTTACCGTGGCTGTCACTGTGTCCCGCTCTGTCACGAAGGCACGGAATCTTTCTCCAAGAATGTTGAGAAACGTCCTGCGGGGGAAGCAGTGGTGTGACCAGGACAGACACGAAGATCCGCGCCACGCAGTAAGAGCGGATTGAGGGTGAGGCCCTGACATAGCGGCCTAGTCCTGCCAGGACAGAGGGGCAGTGTCCCTATCAAGGAGCCAGCCTACAGCGGCCAGACCTGGGAGAGCTGGAGAGCGCCTAGGACCAGCGACTCACACCTGCGGGGCCCCGACTGCGGCTGGCCTGGGCAGCGCTCACCTGATGGACGCCAAGAAGGTCTGATGGTGCTTCTGCACGGACTCCTCCTGCTTCCGTAAGTTCTCATTCACAAGCTGCTGAGAAGCCACAGAAAAAGAGAAAAGCCTTTAAAACCAGAAAAATGCTCAAGGACGGGAGGGCTCCAAGCGTCTCGGGCACCTGGGGCCCTGCAGATGCCACAGCCTGACACACAGACACAGGTGACATCGGCCGGGACGGCAGTCGCTGAGGGGCTGCTTTCAGGAGCCCAAACTCCCCAGCGCCAGAAAACAGCCCCCACTGCGGCTTCCCTGAGAAGGGCCACTGCGCGGCAGACCTCCCAACAGCACCGCCCTGATTCACGCTGTGCTGTAGGAAGCCTCTGTCTTCTGCCAAGAAAACGTTAAAGCTACAATGGCCACAACAGGCAACGCGTGAACCCCGCCTGTGAGCTCAGGACTGAGGGCGACGGGCCAGGCGCGGTAGCTCACACCTGTAATAATCCCAGCATTTCGGGAGACTGAGGCAGGTGGATCACTTGAGGTCAGGAGTTCAAGACTAGCCTGGCCAACATGGTGAAACACCATCTCTACTAAAAATACAAAAAATGCCTGTAATCCCAGCTACTCAGGGGGCTGAGGTAGGAGACCAGCTTGAACCCAGGAGGTGGAGGTTGCAGTGAGTCAAGATTGTGCCACCTCAAGCCAGCTTAAGGGAAAGAACGTGACTTTATCTCAAATAAATAAAAATAAAAATAAAAATAGACCGGGGCAGTGGCTCACACCTGTAATACCAGCGCTTTGGGAGGCTGAGGCAGGTGCATCACGAGGTCAAGAGATCTAGACCATCATGGTCAACATGGTGAAACTGCATCTCTAGTAAAAATACAAAAATTAGCTGGGTGTGGTGTCAGGTGCCTATAATCCCAGCTACTTGGGAGGATGAAGCAGAATAGCTTGAAACGGAGGTTGCAGTGACCCGAGATCGTGCCACTGAACGAGTGGAGACAATATCTCGAAACAAAACAAAACAAAACAACCCTCAAAAGCCCAACTTTAACTTTAAGCTGACCAAAAAAAAAAAAAAAACCCAAAAAACCACAACTTAAAATTAAAAAAAAAAAAAAAAAAAAAAAAAAAAAAAAAATGCTGTTTTTCACACAAAACATAGAGAAAAAGGAATTGAGCAGCGGGCTGCGGCCTGGTCCAGGATGACGGACACACCCGCCCCACCACCCCCGGGGTCAGACAGAGGCTTAGGGACACTCACAGTGGCTTGCTTCCAAAGGAAGGCGTCCGCGTCGTCCACGAAGGGCAGGAGGCTGTGAACGAGAGAGAGGCCAAGCACGGCGAGAGTGACACCCGGAGCGGCCCACAGGAGCGTCCGGCTGCGTCGGGAGCAGGCCGAGCGGGCAGATCCCCAAGGGGTGCAGCCTCTGCCCCTTAAGGAGCCCTGAGTCCTGGATCTGACAGAAGCCCATCAGCCTGG